GCTATGGGCGGGCGGAAAGCAGGCCACGAGCGCACAGACATGGCATGCACTAATGTATGCAACATATAGGGTTTATGGTATTTAATGTGCATGCAAAACAAGTTCAACATGTGCCTGGAGAGTAGTAGTTTAACAAAAAAACATCTCAAGTATTTATTGAATGTGTGTTCTTTTGGCAAAATTCTGACCTCATATGGTCTATAAGCTATGATTGCTATAGGATGAAGGATGGGCCCAGGGCAAAACATGATGTTAGCCTCTTCTCTACCAAACTTTTTCCAGTTTGTCTTGTTTTAATTCTTGCCTGGTTTTATAACCATGCAACATTTTGCTGCTGGTCCCGAGGAGACCAGGAAACATCACAGTTTAATAAAATAACCACTTGGATGTTCTATATTAAAATGTAATTCAATATTCTTACTAAAGCTGTGCATTTTAAGTCATTTTATAAGCTTCCTGCACTGCTAAATGATCTGCAAAATGTTTTCTTTTTTTTTTTTCAGGATTTGTTTTTTCCAGCACCTGAGGTGATGCAATGCTTTCTTTGGTTTCAAATAAAAATGTCCATATTGTATTCAAATTATTTTACTGCAGATTCTTTAATAAAAATCCAGATAAGAAGGATTTATTTTAATATGACCCAAGACAAAGGGAATGATAAAATCCTGAGAATGAGACTGAAGCATTTTTGTTTTGTAGTCTTTGTCAATGTAGGGTCAGTGTTTTTGATTGACTGGTGGTGATTGGTTGTTTTCATCAATCCAAATGCAGTTTTTGCAGGGATTTAATCAATTAACTGAAAAGTGCCTGCCTTTGATAGGCCATTTGGTGTAGTTCACATACATACAGTGCAACAAGTTATGACCACAGAGATGAAGCTAAGTGCACACAGAAAAAGAGTCCAGTACATGCAGAAAAAAATAAGGAAAACGCAAACTTCAAAAACTTTATATTTTCAGTGCTGCAATAAAATTCTGAAAACCAATCCCACTGCTTAGCCAGGGGCTTAATCTAGTTCAGTTAAAAAGCAATAATAAAAAAAAAAACTTTGAATGAAACGTGCCATTACTTCAAAGTCCTGAAAAATTGGAGCCTTTTAGCCCGACCCCCCCATCAACCCCAGCCCTCCCCACACACACGACCCCCCCATCCAACATGAGATTCTGAACTTTATTACCTACTTCAGTCAACATAATTTTAATCTAAATATAACTGTTCAGGGTGAAT